AATTAGAGCATAATACTCGAAAAGGATTGTGCATGACGCAATCACTAGTGTATCTATTAAGTAGAAGAGGCAGAAAGTTGCTTGTTGGTCTGGAAGGAACAGTAAAATTAATACGACCTAAAAGCACAGAGGAATCAACATCTCCGACAGTAAATTTGTAGAGAAACAGAACACCAAAAACCATCCTACGATGAGCTTACGAAGGTAGATTAATAAGTCTACTAGAGTAGAGTGGTAATCGCAGATAAGATCACGAATAGCAAAAAGATGAAATTGTTTCTGGACCGACTCAATGCGATCCTGATGCAATTTGTTCTGAGAACACCAAAGGAGTGTTTCCAAGCACAATTATTAAATTATTATTAAATTATCTTAAGACCAAAGACCAAAAAAAAAAACTTTCGAGATGATTTTTTCCAAACGCTTTTCATCCACCAAAAAAACGCGGGCAAAGAAATTGCAGGAAAGCTGAGTCAAGTGCCCATAGTTATATCAACTCGTATGCTTTTTGATTGAAGAGATTAAGATATGGGTAAATATATCAACTTTTGCCAATTAAATGGCTTTATAAAGTGTGAACAAATGGAATCTCTTTCATAACTTAACTTAAATTTGTTTTTAAACATTCTTCTCAGCCATTTTGAGAGCAACAAAAACGAATTAATATTAACCCCCTTTCGTTTCCATTGCACGGCACAGCTCTCATGACGTCTGCTGTTGCCATTTTTTGGCAGTTAACGAAATTTATGCGCCATTTTTTATTTTTTACTGCTTTGCAATACAATTTTGCTGCTGCGGCCCGGGCAGGATGCAATAGTTTCCGCTGGTTTTTGCTGGCTTTTGCTGGCTTTTGCGGGTCAGCAGCATTTGTTTTTGGCCAAGTTTGCTGCAATTTATTGAAATGCAACTCGGAATGGTGCCTCAGCTACCTACCAACCCACTATTCCACCCACACTGGCCATTGATTTGGCACACAACGAATGCAAAGGCCCCGCAAGGCGAATGGCGAAGAGAGAAGAGAGAGGCGACTGATAGATAGCACGTGGCTATTCATTTCGCATTGAAGAATACTATATAGTATGTACATAGTATATAATAGCCGTTATTGATTTTCGTCTAGAGTGTTGTCTCCTCAATATTCTACAAGTATATAGACGAGTATATGCATATTGAGTACGCGACAATTTATGAGCTTTATATGTCACTTATGACGGCGACGGCGCTGACGACCCACAACACGATGTTCACTTTCACTGGCATTTTCAGTTACACACACACACACACACAAATACCCACACACACACACACACACACAAACACATTCATAGGGGCGCATACTTGAGTGTGCCACCCCCGGTCCGAGTGGACGTCTCAGTTACGATTTGTGCGCCCCTCTTCGGGCGCTATCCGCCGGCATATCTAAACAGTAATTGCTAGCCAGGGTGTAGTTGCGTTTTACGACCCACACAGATGTTTTTTCCTTTGCTTTTCCTTTACTGTTATTCCTTGTTGTTGTGTGATGTTCGTCTTGTACTCGTGTTTTTGTCTGCCCTTAAATGCCTTTTGCGTGCTAACTTAAATTCTTAAATCATAGCATACTGCGAGGCGTTAAGCACAAATTGCATGCCTTAAGAGTGTTAGAAAGCAACAATTAGTTGATTTATTAAATCGCTCAGTCGCTGCGTCCTTGGCAAGGGCAATCAAATCAACTGATCTAATCTAGAACGCGGACGGCATGCCAGCACCAGCAAGATATTGTACAGCCATTTGAGCCGATATTATTAAATTTAATGGCCGGCCAAAAATGAAAAATAAGATAGCGGAAAATCGAAGCACACCAGTCAGCAATTCAGCCATTTCGTACAACAACAATTCGCGTGCTTGACTAAATGGAATTTTCGCCAACCCCGCACTGGCTCTTGAATATGAAAAGTGGGCTAAAGTGGGCTTTTGAATGCCCTACTCTGTAATAAGAGAGTAGGCTCTTATGAGTTCCATAATTTGTTTTCAAATGTAAAATTCAATTTTTAAAATAGTTTTAAAGGTACTAGGGTATCGATTTGTTTCCCACTCACACATAGACTTTGTCTGTCTGTATGAACGCAAATAGCTTGAAAATAAGAAAAGCTAGAGCCACAACATTCAGTATGTAGTAGTTGCTAAGTTCAATACATAACTAGTTTTAATTTCATTTATTTTCTTTCGAAATAACATATCTTTAATATTAATTTTAAGTTGCTCTAGGGTACATGAAAGTCATTCACGCACTATTTCCCTTATTTCCCACACGCTCCTACCAAAACAAGCATTGGAATATGTCGTGTGCCTGGCAGTTGTTTAACAATAAATAACTTTATTTATATTGTATCAGGCGACACGCCCAATTAGTTTTGATATAGCATAACGCCAAAGGCATGGCCCCTAACCAAGTTCTAGACGATGTTGAAGCTAAGCGGCTTAGTCATGAAATTTTATTGTTGACTTTTGACAAGGCGACAACGAAATGTAACGAAACGAAAGGATACGAGAATGCTTTGACAATGCCTGGCAATCCTTTTGGCAAATCGCACAATGCGGCGCCCAAAGATGTCGGCTGACTTGCACTTGAAATTGAAACGAAACCCCCCTCCCCCCACTCTGCTGCTTTTCACAATTTGTGTTTGTCTTTTGTCATTTTAATTGAAATTTTCTGTCGCACGCTTTGTGGCGTCTCTTATATTGCTAGTGGCCCTCAAATAGTTGCAACTACTACGTATCTATTTGCTTTGCATCAACTGTTAATGCTGTTCTATTGTCCTGCTTGAATGTAAGAGTGTCTGGGTGTCTGAGTGTCTGAGTGTCCTGCTGTCAGGCTCATCTCTCTCTCACAATTGCATGCCTGTTTGCCCACTGATTTGCCATTGTCTGAAGGCCTTTGCTATCAGCTCGAGCTACCTTGCAGCCAACGAACACAATTCAGTTCTTTATACTCGACCGGATTCTGATACGAGTATGAATTAAATCAAGTTAATGACATTAAAAGACGTCAGCAGCAGTATTGCATAAAGGCAGTAAATTAAGAGTATGGCGCAATTTAATTGTAACACCAACCAACATTACAAAGTGAATCGAACGCACAAGTCTCTTGACTTAATTATTCGAAGTAACTTTAAATTGCTGACTGGCTCTTCAAGGATATTCTATTTAAACTCATTCCCATTAAGCAGGACAACGTAACTATTTGTTGCACACACTAGTATTTGCTTTAAAAAGTAGAAATTGTAGCCTACTAGCTTTATGGGAAGCGAAGACTGACTATCGAAACGAATCTAAGAAAATGGATTATTAAAAAAGATTAGTAGAGGGGAAAAGTAGACTTTAATGAAATATATAATAGCCTTTAACTTGCTTAAGAGTTGAACTATTTTTATAACAATTTAATTAAGTATTCAATATTAGAATTGAATATTCCTTGATGCTTAAGCATTATGCATTACATTAAAATGCAACTTGAGCTTCGGTAATAGGTCAAAGCAGCTAAGGACTTTAGAAGTGTGTCTTTCCATGTGTTCAGCAAATGTTGGTAATAATTGTAATGGTGTTACAACCATTGGAAGAAACACCCAAACCCTCCATATATGAGAGCCTAAACTACAAAGATGGGAAATCACTGTTAGTTTCAGTCCATTTTTGACAACATATCCGTCTTTTATAAATAATGCAAGCTATAGATACTTCTCTTCCTCGACTTTAATTATGTTTTGAAATATATCTCAACCAATCCTGCACAGCATCCTCGCTTCTGGATGAATATTTTCTACTTTCAATTAAGAAATAAACGTGTCAAGTGTTGCGTAAATGTCTAACTACTTGAAAATTATCATTAAAAACTTTTATCAGACACAAATGACTTAGTTGCTAATTATATATATATATACTTGTATATATATATATTTTTTTTTTGTTGAAATAGGTCTACACAACTTGCTTACAAAACATTCAAATTTTTCTTATATACAAACGAAATATCTGCGACTTTTCACTTCATTTATTTATATGATGCTTACTTAAAATTAAAATCTTTAACTAACAAAAGTTATTGTGTTAACTATCTCCTTTTGGGCAAAATTGTGAATATAATATAAAAGAAGGACAATTGTCCGTGATGAACGTTTGGAATCAAAATAAAATTAAAGAATGGGTTAATTATTCTTTGTAGGGAGTCTGCGGCTTATGGCTTAACACCAGACCTTTGAAATGATAAATGAATTTTTGAATCACAGATATTTAAATTGGCTGTAAAAATATGTTGGGTTCGCCTATTGAATCGAATACTATTTATTATGATATATACTGTTAAGTTATAGCATCTGTAAACTGTACGGTTTTTGAATGAAAAGGATGATTAATTACTAAGCAGAATGGAAAAACATTTAGCGGTCGTCTATTTTAGTTCAGCAGTAGCTCAGTTAACAGCTTGTTCAGATATGGAATAAATTACATAGCGTTTAATAGAGAATAGAGATCCGCGGACAGACTTTTTGGCAACGCTAGAATAGTCAGCAACGACTGGACGAGATACTTAATGCCACGATGGTCTTGCAGGTCGATTTGTTTTGTCGAAGAACCATTTTCCCGTGAATTCTTACGCACCAAGTTAAAAAGAAAGAGCTTATTGGAGGAACCATTGCTGCCCGCCCTTCTCCGCCGATTCGGCTTTATTTTTCCCACAGAAATTGTTTATTTGGCTTTCATGTTGTTTGTGTGTCGCTGTGGGGTTGCAGGTCAATAATTATTTATAAACATTTGCTCATTAAATTTACATTATAACACTCTTCTCTTCTTCTTCTCGTTCTTTATTCTGCAGCATTCGCAACAGCCGCGGCTCTCTTGATAGCATTGGCACCGCCGCCCCCGGCAGCTCGGCTGCCAGTCAGGCCAGCTCGAGTGGCGGTTCGAGCAGCAACAACAACAACAGCAGCAGCATCAACAATAACAACAACAATAGCAATAATAGCAAAATGGACGGCGGCAGTCCACATCACCGTCCCGGATCGCGCAATGGACGCGACAATTGGGGGAAAATGCCGGAGCCCCTCAACGGCCACAAGGTGGACAAGGCAGAGAAGTCGTCTCCATCGCGACGCAGCTTGGGGGGCAACGGCAGTGGTGGCAGTGGCAACTCGTCCAAGCAGGGCTCTCCCTCGGCCTCGTCACGCACCAAGGGTGTGCCACCCAGTTTTGGTTACGTAAAGCGCGCCAATGGCAGCATAGCGTCCACGGCGGAGCAACAGAACATCGCAATGCTCATGGCGGGAGCGGGTGGTTCCGGAGTTGGCGTTGCTGGGATGGTCAATGGCTTGTCCTGTGGTCGTACGGCGCATGTATCAGCTGTGCCGCGCACCGCCGGAGGACGTAAATCGACCGGTGGTACACAGACGCTGCCCAACGACATGAACAGTGAGTGCAGAGCAACGATAATAGAGTGGAGACCCAAAACTAACCCTTTACCTCCTTCCAGAGCTACCGCCCAACACACAGCATCGCAGCTTCTCCCTGACCGGACCGACGGCCACACAACTGAGCCAATCCATCAGGGAACGCCTGGCAACGGGCTCACACAGTCTGCCAAAGCCAGGCAGCGATATGCATGTCTTTCAGCATAGGTGAGTGGAAAGTACTCGAATAATAAAGTGCAAGCCAAAGTTTCTTAGTCCCTGGCCTTTACTGCCCAATTTTCTATATGGCCTGAGGGAAAATTCGTAATAGAAACAAATGCATTCTAAATGGAATATAAATTTAACTAAAGAATGAAAAGACAATTTCTTGTAGAGATTCTGCTGAGAGAGAGCTAGTCTTCAGGAAATGATTTATATCAGACAAAACTAAATACAAATTTTGTAAGGGCTGTGGGATTTGCTATTAAAAATAAATCTACTTTTCATAATCACTGGTAGCGAGTCTGTGAATCTAAGAATTGAAGGCCGAAGGTTTAGTTATAGCTTGATTCCAAGCATTACTTTTATAAAATTCTAAAATTCTATTACTATTATAAAATTCATTCATGAAAAAAAGTTCTCAACTATATGGATGGGTTTCCTTTTTTTCCAGTTTCCACAGTGGTTGAAACGAATTGCAATAAAATTCCTAGATTGATTTTAAACTAAAGATTGACTTTATAAAACTTATACATACTTGTATAAAGATAAATGAACGTACTGGGGTAGCTTTGCTGTTTTTTATTAAATCGTTTTTTTTTTAAATACAATTTTTAAATTAAGATAATTTTCATAGTTTTTATACCCTGTACCCGTAGGGTAAAAAGGGTATATTAGGTTTGTGCAAAGTATGTAACATACAGAAGGAAGCATCTCCGACCCCATAAAGTATATATATTCTTGATCAGCATGACGAGAGAAATCGATCTAGACATGTCCGTCCGTCTGTCCGTCCGTCTGTCCGTCCGTCTGGATGAACGCGAGGATCTCAGAAACTATAAAAGCTAGAATAACCAAAGTTGGCATCCAGATTCTCCTAGTCCGAGTAAGGACGAGTTTATTTTATTTTTTTTAATTTTCCCCCCCCCCTTCCCCCGCTATAGAATTTCGTCAATAGCGTCCACATTTCAAATGCTACCTAAACCAAACTTTGCACACATAATTTATATATAATTGTCTATTGTTGTTCAAATTCAAATTCAATTCGGTCAATTCTAAGAAAAGTTATTAGCAAAACAAATTTTCACCAGTACAACCCCCACAAGCTGCAGCAACAAGTTCGCTCTTCTTCTTCCTCTTTTTGCTGCTGCTATGGGCGCATATAACTCAGTGACGGAAGTTTACCTGGGTACAGGGTATTACACTGTCGGGCTTGCTCGACTGTAGCGTTCTCTCTTGTTTGTATTACTGATTGACTTTATGGATTGTAAAATTGTGTATGGAATATAACTTACGTCGAATAATCTCTTCAGTCTTAGGCGCAATACCCGCGTCTTTTTAAAAGCACATTTCATATCAAAATTGGGTTAAATAGACGATGTCCAGTGACGGAATATAGAACCCTGTAGAAGGTGAAATATTCAAAATACCTAATCAAACCTGTAGAAATGAAAATAGAATTACATTATTGGACTTCAATAGTAGATCCAAGATAGGGTTTGAATAAGTATAATAAGGAGTGGGAAACGGGAATATGCCTGGATATGTCTGTATGTCATAAAAAGCATTTCTAGCGAGAGTTGGTCGAAGTTACAAAAAATCATAGAATTATGCGACACTGGAAACAGTATAGTTGTTGCTTGGTTGAACATGATGGTTCTTTTTAGGATGCGAGTGTTAACTAACTTTAATTTATAGAGGGCCTTACCATTATAGTAAAGCCTCTTTATAAATTCCTTTTCATCAAAGGTGCATTTAAAATATATTTACCTAAGGTATAAAAGGGACTATTATATGTTAGGTTCGGCAATGCACAGAGTATATGAAAAAATATAAATTGTAGTAACTGATAATATAAGATCAAACTCTAATAGAAAAGTATACTTATAAGGCTCCACTTCAATCTTATTTGCAGAATTTCTAATCGCACGGGCACACGTCACGATGGCTCTTTGTCGGACACACAGACCTATGCAGAGGTTAAGCCGGAATATAGCTCATACGCCATGTGGTTGAAGCACAGCAATACGGCGGGCAGTCGGCTCTCCGATGGGGATGCCATCGATCAGATGCAAATTGGCTCACCAGCGATGACCCGACATGGCCACAAGATGTTGCACAGTCGCGGAGGTGCGCCCGCAGGCGGACAAATGACTATGGCGGGCAATGAATCGCCGTATGTGCAAAGCCCGCGCATGAATCGCAGCAATAGCATCAGGTGGGTTGAACTTTAGAAGCAAGAAGGTCTAGTTTTGAAATGAAAACCCTAGCATGTTACCAAAAAAGAAACCAAGCATGTTTTATCCCGTCTTTTTCTCTTTCTCTCTCTTTCTACATATTTCTTCCCATTTCCGTATCCTTTATTGCTCTACACTTTACTCCTACTTCTACCCTCTTAGCTACTTGAAAGAACGGACATATCCAAGGTGACTTTCAAAATAGTGCTTTAAGTTTTTGGATGCTTTATGTTTTTGCTATGTGCTTGCTTTTTTGTGGCACGCCCATTTAGCAACACTCAGACACTCAGTCGCCAGTTTCCGGCGCGCTAAAAGTGCATGCTTGCAATTTGCATTTCCATGTTGCATACTTGGCGGCGTCGCCAACGGCAAGTGTTTGCCATTGCCGCGACAGGCAGACAACTAGACAGGCACATACCAGTACAGTACATGTCCGTACATGTATTAGACGCGTTCATTTTGCATGTCAGCTCCTGCACACTCTTGCACAGACCGAACGCGCGCCTTCAAGTATGCGAGCAATTTGTAATATTTCTGTCAGACGAGCGCAACAGCCAACACACAGCCAACACACATATGGCGCATTTCAATTCGATGCATGCCTTAAAGTTTTGCCACGGCACGCCCAAATAGTTAAAGCATACTTTCTGGGGTTGCACACACCAAAAAATGAAAAAAAAACACTCACCACCCACACATACACACACACACACATACATACAGAGAGTGAGAGAGAAATACACACGCAGCAGGAGCAACCTACAGACAATGTGAAAGTTGTGTAAAATGGCAAACAAACGAAAAAGGAGAAAACGAAATATAAAGCGACGAAATGGAAAACGTGAAAACAAAATGGGTGGCAGGCAAAAAAACAAAAGATGGGGCCAGAGGGCGAGTGGAGAGTTCAAAGTTGGGGCTCGGCAGGAGGAGGTATTAGTGTAAATAATGCAGCAGGCAAATGCTGGCAAAGGGGTACTTCCTGGGCGGGCGCTGGAAGCCAGATTATTATTTGACATGTCAATAGGTTTCGTGAACCTTTTGACTTGCCGGCAATCCACCTAAAAACACGAGAATAAAAAGCAGCGGAGCAACATTTTTTGTAGACCCCCCCAGATGTTGGTGTCGACTGTCGAGTGCTTCATTAAAAATTTGAATACGACAGAAAACGCAGAAAGCGCAGAAAACTGAAACTAAGAGCAGCAAATGTTCACAAAGAAAAGCTCAGATTTTGGTTAGTTGATGCTTTCGGGGTACTTCTGTAATCCACTTCTGTAGAAACACGAGATGGCCAAAGAAATTGTCAACAAACTAAAAATGATTTAATGTCACTATAATTATCTAAGTTAATTAGCTAAGACTTGTATTTATTTATTTACTTTATTCGACAAATAGTTATATAAAATATTGGCTAGATAAACATTTAAGGGCCTGCTTAAATCACGCAGTTATTGACAAAGAGTTAGTTATTATGTTTCATTACTAGTTTTGCATTTCATATTCAGGTTAACATTAATCAGAAATCAACGTCGTTACTTTTAATGAGGCGCGCGTAATTAACTTTTTCGAGTGCTTACATACATTCGCTACTCTTTACGATTCGCTTAACTTACTTAACATATTAATTTACCCTAACTTCTACATAATATTGAGTTACATAGCCTGCCTACAGCTACTAAGTAATTGAGTTTAATGCAAAGTAGAAACTAAAATATATTAAGGTTAGAGGTGTGCACGTGAGAAGCAGAATGGCGTCACGATCACGCACATGAAAACAATTTTTAATGGAGTTCAAATTGAAAGAGAGAAGGATGCATTTATTTACAAGTATTATTTATTTATTTATGCATTATTGATTATTTTGAACTGAACTTTAATATTATTGACTATTAAAGTCATGAAGACTTTCTTGAACCAGCTGATTATTCTGCACGCCAAAAAAGCTTCACAACAATTCAACTCCACGAGTGCATTTTTGTGCATCTCTATTCTGATTTTAAAGAATTAAATAAAATCCAAATAGTAATCAATTATTGGCAAATATTTGTATATCAAGTTAGGCGAGGCTTCTGATATATTATAAGATGCTGAAAATTATTGAACAGTTAGTATATTTACGTAGACTTGTATTTTCTAAATTTTCCTAAAATTCTTAATTTACGAAATTATGATATTTTTTAAGGATTGTCATAAGCGTCGTAAGAAATCAAGAGATTTCCATTCCTCCTAAAATCCTTTTTTAAACCAGAAAAATTAACCACTGAATGGGAATTAATTTAAAATATTGTTTTAAAGCGATATAGCTCCGAGACTTTGATCAATTTTATCAATCGAGGCTTAAACTTAGACTGAATGAGCTTTGGATTGAAATCTTCTTAAATTTCACTTTTTAGTAAACACAGATTGGAAAAGAAACGATATTTTGATCTATTTTTCTACGCTTCAGATAGTTTTGCTATAAAATATGCTATTTAATTCACGTAGATTGGGAAAGTTTTTCAAGTATTAGGTGCAACCTAAACCCTTATTGGGCGCCTTTTTCAAAGTCTTCACATATCTTACCGGCAGTGGTAAAAATGATTCCCAAAAGTGCAACAGCAAATTAATTTCAAAATGTGAAAAGTATTCTCTGCATAGAATTTCAAACTCGTATTTATAATTACTATTACTTTTCTGCGAAAACTTGTTGCCACTGCCTAAAACCCTGCACCTGGCCCCTGGTTGGGCGTCTCTGTTAGTATTTGGAGCCCCAACAGCTCTCTTCCCCAACCAAATTATGTATGTACCAGTTAGTTTTAACACGCTTGCTGTTCTCGCAACACTCGTGCATCAATTATGCGAAATGGAAGGGCTGGTGGAAGCCCCAAAACCCAGTTGGTGGCTTGTTATCAAATTTTACACTTACGAACACATCAAGAGCGACAGCTCCAAATAGACAAACTTTGCAAACAGACGCCCTGAGGCATCCTGCCACACCACTCCGCCTAGCCACACCACAATGCAAACAAATAAACAGCAGACATGCGACACGCACACACATCCTAATGCCCGTTAATACTTGTACATATGTACGTTCGGTCTTGGGTGTACGCGCTTCAGAGAGCACACACATCTGGTATGTGTACGTAATATTAGATTTGCATGCACAAATGCCATTTATGTCAGTTACCAACAGACGGAGAGTGTCGAAGCCGGTGGTCTGGGGACTGGACACAAACATTACATTAGTGTCCAGTTGGGGCTTGGGCAGCATCCTGGTTGCAGGTCCTACTTTTCCGTTTCTATCTAGTTAGAGTTCTGCTGCTTCCTCCTCTGTTGGTCATTCAAAACCACTTTACGCTTTATGAAGCCCATCATTTTATAACAATTTGTCAAGAGCTTCCATATGAGTTGTCTGACCACGAACTGCTTCCCCCTTCCCATTTCCCGCTCCCAGTGCTTATCAGCCTCAACCAGGACACGCAGCTGACAAGGTGACCAACATTTTGCGGTTGAAGCAATGCAGAATCATTATAAAAAGAGAGGCTATAAAAAGCCATCATTTATTGGAAGCCAACTTTGAGGCAACTATCGTCGGCAAATCTGATAAGAATTAGAGGCACTTAAGAGCGTTCAAAAGGTTGTTTGCATTTTAAGTTTCTTCTATGTATAGTCCTTTAATCTCTACCTCAGAAGTATTTCTATGGAGGGAAACGTTCTGAAAGATAATTAGTAGCTTATAGGAAAAACCTTAAACTCTTTAGATGAAGAGCATACAGATCTATTGCTTATCTTACAAGCAATTTAAATTTAAAACATTTGCATTTATTCAGTTATTTCTGTTGAATTTCTATAATAAGGGCTTATGCCAATTTCGTTGCTCCGTTTCATAATAGTTCAGTAAGCATATTTTTCCAAACTGATTTCAATGGTCATCTCAAATGATTTTTCTACTTTAAGTTGACTTTGTATTAGTGGTTATATTTCTTACCATTGCAATCATTACTACAATTCAAATGATTCAGTTTTTTCAAACGTTTCACCATATAATGTTTCACTGGCCTCATTGCAGTTTTATGTTATTCCATTCACTTACGAGTTTATGAGTGGTTTCCATACTTTGCCACAAGTTCCAGGCAAATATTATTTTTTGTCCAAATCAGTCCATTTATTCTAAAGAATTTTTATTTTAATCGATTCAAGTCGTTCCAGTAAGCAAGTTCTAGATGCTTTGTTTAATTATTTTTGACATTATTGACATTTGAATCTTTAACCTTGATTTGTTTCGATTCAGCTAGCTTTTTTAAATCCAACAATTGAATTTGGGTCGTTTTGAATTGCTATCTCTATTTAATCGAAACGAAACAATTTCAAGAATTCTTCTGTAGAAATGGGGCTTTTGTCCCAATTCCAAAAAAATTTAATCAGCTCTTTCAACTCCACTCGTTTCAATGGCTTCTTCCGAGCAATAAATTCCTTTCAGCTTACACATAACCATGTCCAGTTTTAGAAAGTGAGATGCTGACTACATTTTATAATTACTTCTTTCTGTAATTTGTAACAACGCTTCATGCTGTTCTATTCACATTAGTCTGCTTAATTAAGTACAATTGTTTCACTCCCAAATTAACTTCAACAGTACGCCCAAGCGTTTCAGTCCATTCGTTCCAGTTGTTTCCTAAAATTCCACTTGTGTACTAAATTTCAACATTTCCAAGCGTTGCATTTGCGGTAACTTGGTCACCCTTTTTCATAGCCAAGCCACATGCCAAGCCAGCAAACTAACTAATGACTGCCGCATCGACCGCGCTGCGCCAGCAATGTTGACGAAATTAAACGGAAATGTGTGAAAAGCCTGAAAGTATGTAATGACATGCGTGTCGATTGGCCTAATAAACTACTCCGTCGCAGGTCCATGCTGCCATTGAGGCCCCTGGGCCATGGCGCAGCGGAAATTTGCAAATGTCTAGCACGAGCAGACACACAAATTAACGTACACACACACACAGATATACAGACACGAAGATACATAATTGTGGCTTTTGTGGATAGCTTGCCTATTTGGTTGCACTTTCGCCCGCGCACACATTTTTGCACGAAAACTAATGACATTTCACACTGCTCCCCTTTTGTTCCGCACAGATCCACCAAATCGGAGAAAATGTATCCCTCGATGCTGAGTCGTGGCGGCGATGTGGAAATCGAGCCCTACTACTGCCTGCCAGTGGGCACCATCGCAGCGGCAGCTCAGAACGGGGTCCTCAGCGCCGACATGGCCGCCGCTATGGTCGCCCAGACGGTGCAGGCAGGCAATGCACGCGCCGGGGTGTCCACCTGGAGCCAGCCCACCTCGCCGACGCCCATCAATCGTGGTCCATTTGCGGGCGCTGCGGCAGCTGGCGTGGGCGTGGGCGCCCTCTCACCCACGCATGGGAATCCGACAGCATCGACTGCAATGGCATCTGCTGGCGGCCATGGTGCGGGCGGCAATATTGGTGGCCATCGTCTCACATATCCCAAGAAGAATGATGAAGGTAAGTGTGTGGGTGTGTGTGTGTGTGAGAGTTTATGTGCATGCTGACATAGATAGACGTCTGGACTTTGCTGGAGAGCTCTCTCATCGTGTCTTTACCATTTGCTTGCAGTTCACGGCAGCGCCGCTTCTTTGCTGTCCGGTGGCAGCTCCTTGTACGGCTCGGCGGAGGAGCGACAGGCACATGAGATAAGGAGATTGAAGCGCGAACTGCAGGATGCCCGGGAACAGGTGCTCAGTCTAAGCAGTCAACTGTCGACCAATGTGAGTAGAACAAATGGCAAGTGCCTAAGCACTCTGTACGTTTTAAAACCAATGGGTTCACATTTATATGCGTGGGATAATGTTAAGCACGAGAGCTTTTGCGATCACCAATGTGGGAGTCTGTCGACAGAGTCGAATATAAAATTTAAGGGAATAGGGGTTGCGAAATATATTTAAGTTGGAATGAGCGGTTGTGCGATACCGCGAGACCAACTTGTGTTAACGAAACATTTTTAGATTGCAATGTTTCTACACTACATATATAGAATGTCTAAAATATCATACAGTGCTCAAATTTTAAAGGCAATTATGTCAATTTGGGTTTGGTAATGGCCTAAAACTTGAAAAGATCTCATTGATTATATCGATAAATATTTTTTTTGGTAACGTCCTTAAATAAGCACTTAAGGTATAGCTGATTGTAAATATCTTGAAATTAGTTCTTTAAAATCAAAATGTAGTTAAGCCATCTTAATCTTTTAATATAGTAGTTAAAGTGATTTGAAACATAAAAGGACTTCTAAAAACAAAGCTGAACCAATACTTTGAGCATTTAAATTACTTTTTATACCCTGTACCCGTAGGGTAAAAAGGGTATATTAGGTTTGTGCAAAGTATGTAACATACAGAAGGAAGCATCTCCGACCCCATAAAGTATATATATTCTTGATCAGCATGACGAGAGAAATCGATCTAGACATGTCCGTCCGTCTGTCCGTCCGTCTGTCCGTCTGTCCGTCTGTCCGTCTGTCCGTCTGTCCGTCCGTCTGGATGAACGCGAGGATCTCAGAAACTATAAAAGCTAGAATAACCAAAGTTGGCATCCAGGTTCTCCTAGGTCCGAGTAAGGACGAGTTTATTTTATTTTTTGGAATTTTCCCCCCCTTCCCCCGCTACAGAATTTCGTCAATAGCGTCCACATTTCAAATGCTACATTTACCAAACTTTGCACACATAATTTATATATAATTGTCTACTGTTGTATAAAATTTTATTCAATTCGGTCAATTCTAAGAAAAGTTATTAGCAAAACAAATTCTCGCCAGTACAACCCCCACAAACTGCAGCAACAAGTTCGCTCGTCTTCTTCCTCTTTTTGCTGCTGCTATGGGCGCATATAACTCAGTGACGGAAGTTTACCTGGGTACAGGGTATTACACTGTCGGGCTTGCTCGACTGTAGCGTTCTCTCTTGTTAAGTACTTAAAAACGTTTATCTAGAAATATCCTTATACCCTTTCGCCGCACAAATTATATTAATCTACCTTCAAAGGGCTCTGTAACCATGCTATTTAGTTTGGGTGTTAAAGATTCTGAAATTCCTTTGTGTAAACTGCATTATAAAAGAAGAGTCTAGACGTCGCGGCATAAAAATAATTTAAAATCCTACTAAATAAAAGGAAGAGGCAGCCACTGCGACCAAAGAGGTGCACTCTAAAGGGACAATAATCGCTCTACTTCCCTCCTGATTTAGTTTAGGCACACGTGTCTATTTCTATATATATTGGTGCTCCCTTAAGGAATCGGAATCGCTTTGCCGCTCATTTTGCCCATTATTGTTGGGATTTTCCTATAAATCATAAATAGCTTGCACTAAAATATACATATATATGTTTTTTATTTATTTTAAAACATTTTTCTCTTTTCTTCTCAATATACTGCATTTTGTACGCTTGTTTTACATTTTTTTACGCTTTTTTATAATTCTTTTACACCTCTATCTCATTTTACACTTTTCTGCCTTTGCTTTACTTCATGAATTGTCACCACAACATAGTTTTGAAGGGAGGGACAGAAAAAGACAAGTGTACTTTAAATTACTGCAGGCTTACGCATACCGCACCATTTTTGCTCCTTTTATCTATTGTTGCTGCCAACTGTCTGCGCCTCTTCAAAAAAGAAGAAATTCAAAAAAAAAATACAAATCATACGCTTATCAGCGCACAGTCAGAAAAAGTCAAAACTCAAAAGTCGCGCCTGTCTGCGCTTCGGTGTTTCCACTGCTAACTGCTCTACACTTCTTGGCCGTTCGTGGCACAAGCTTGAGTCCCCAACTCAGCTGTGTGTGTGTGTGTGTGCCACAAGTTGTCAACAAAAGTCACGCAAAAGTCTGATAAACTTCTCTAAATATGTTGTGGAACGTGTTGGCGGAGGGGAGAGAGAGAGCTTTTGCCGGTAAATCAGACAAAAGTGCTTTGTAAAAAACTTTTGCCTACTTTCAGGCGCCACTTGAAATATGCGACTGCATGCGAGTGAGTTTATGGCAGACCGACCAGACTCCATCAGCCCATTCATACATACATAAATACTACATATGTATGTATGTACAAGTATGTATGAAGTTTTGCAATTTTGCCAACTATCAGGAAATCAGACACAAAAAAGTAAACTTTAAATTGCAATTTGGGAGTCCAGCCCCCCTCCCCCAACAGCTCAGCCACCTGCACCACCCACGTTGCCAGATTTTATGGCTGTCTACATTGTGGAGCTGTAAAATATTTGCAGCAACTCAGTCGGCAGCCATCAAATTTATTGAGGCCATCGCGCAGACAACATAAATCCAAGCAACGTCTAGTCGGATCTGGCTGGGTGGGAGGTAGGGCGGTCCGGGAGGCTGCTTGCCAAGGTCAAGGCGTAGTACGTGCAAATTGTTATTCGGTTTTGATCAACTTTGTAGCGACATTGTTGGGAACTTTAAAGCAGCGGACATTAAGCTGATTGAAAGTTTTTCCATCGCAACTTTTACCAATTTCCTTGGCCCGCTGCCCAGCCATGCGTGCAAAATGTCATTGCTTAGAAGTTGCGCCTCGCTCGCTTCTATTGTTGTTGCTGCTGCCACAGCAATAAACTTTGGTCAGCTGCCATAAAAGTGCAGCAAGGCAGGAAAAATGGCAAGCAATGCCATTGCCGGTTTTCAGTTGGCTGTCTTGCCAATGCCAAGAAGCAGAAACGCAGCGAAGCTGAGAAAAATGGCAATGAAGTTATGTCTGCACTGTCTGACTGTATGGATGCTGATGTTGTACTAGTATGGTTGTTTTTATTGTTGTTGTCATAGCTTTGCTTTACTGTGGTCGCGCCTGGAAATGGGTGATAGTTATGCGACGGCATTGTGAAAATACTCGAAGGCACATACATATGTGGACATGTGCTTGAAAGAAAGACATACAAGTATGTATGTATACTATATGTGCGAGTATGTATGTATAAGTAGGTAGATATGGGTCGTTCGACTTGGTTCACAGATGATTCAGACAAGCTAATGATGCATAACTCAAATGGAATTCCTATACGTATTCTATTTTGAAGTTTATTAACAATTCATATAACTGCCCATCAGTTCCATAGGCAGATGGACCACAGGCTTTTCGAGCTGATTTATGCACAAAAAATGTTCGGGCAGGCAACTACAAGTATATGCTGAATTAAATGGTTTTCTCAACAGCTTATTTGGGTAAACAACAAATGGCAGGTCAACGTTTACATATGTTTTAGAAAATACACTCAAGTGAATTAGTTTGTTTCTTTAGAATTTGTGCATTGAATGAAGCACGAACAATAGAGTACTCCGCTGTTATTCCTATTAGATGCCACAAATGTTTAGTAATTCAAGTTCTGTTTTTTTCTAAATAAACAAAATCAGCGGACAATTACCAATTTCTTAAACCAATATCAATATATATTTTTATTTCAAAAAGAATTTTGCGGTAATTTTGTTTAAAAAATATTGACTAATACGAGTATTTATGAAAACAGCATTGAAATCTAATATTAGGTATTATTTAAAAAAAATGTTGCAATTGTTCATCAAAGAAGACCATTTTCTTTCGCTTTATATTCAAATTCAAATTTAATCTAAAATCTTCACCAATACAAAAGTAACCAAATAAATAAGAATGGAACAATTTTTGCAAGACAGTAAATGATTATTTTCTTCAAATATTATTTTCAAAATTTTTTAAATGTTATTAAATACTAAAGGTCTTCATTTAAAGGAATGAAAATTTGATCAATTTACGATAAAGGAAACCAAACTGCTGAGTTATTCTTACCAGTTTATTGGATAGGAAATTACTTAACACCATTTTAAATCAGTGCTAAATATCAGACCACACATACGTCTCTTCTTGGGCTAAGCAGAAAAGAGAGGAAAGAGAGATCGAGTATGGTTTGAAAACATTCGTTTTTGGATAATCCCATTCTTGAATTAATTGGAACAGTAAGCGCGAATTGATTAAAGAATCCTTTTATTTATTCAAAGTCAAACAATAAGAGACTAGAATTCATTATAATCTAATTCTTTAAATTGACTCAAAGCTGCTCTTAGATGCATTCAGGCAGCGCTCTAATATTTACTCTTGCTGCACGTATTTCTCTTCAATTTTATAATAAATATTTAGTTGGCATTAAGTTTCTGGATACTCAGCATCTAAACATTTAAATAAAGACGCTTTATTGGCCGCAAAGCTCTAACCACTCACTAACCTTTCTATATCCCGCTCTGTTAAACTTACTTTGCAGTATAAATGACCTTTTATATTGTCTTATAAACAATTAGTTTCTCATGTTACTCACTCGCAATATACTATATAACAAGAACAGCACTGACCTCACTAATCAGTCACCACTCCCTAAAAGGTCAGTCAATTCTATTAGTAAGCTTTCCAGCTATGCTCCTTATAGGGCCATTGCTTGGCTTTTGGAGAAACAACTTCCTTTGCAGCATCAATGACCTTTTCATCTTCTAAATGTCATAAAGAGCACAACTTTTGTCATAACCGTCAGTCAGGAAACTTTAAAGTAAATACAGAATTGACATAAAATGTCAAACAATTAAGGAAAAAGTTTCCGCTGCAACAATAGCAACAATTCAATGGGCGTATCCGAGTTGTAAAAACTTTGCAAACTTTGCCAATTCATGCTGCTAGCATTAAGAAAACTTGAAATGTCTTACAATTTGTGCCGCCACTCTTCCACTACTGCTGCTACTATTTATTTTTTAATACTGCTAGACGTTTGA